CTTAATAGCCTTCTGATATTGTCATTGGGAGAGACAGAGTGGATGGTATTTATGAACAGATGGGATGGAGTATAGTATATTGTAGCAGTACCTGGGTTGGAATCAGGCTTCATCACTTATAAGCTGTATACTTGGGGCATGTTACTGAACCTCTGAGCCTCAGGTTTTTCTTTTCCTCAAAGAGGTTTTTCTTTTCAGTGTACAGATCTGTGAATTTTAACATAGTATTTATTTGGTATCCACCACTACCAGAATACAGGGCAGGTCTGTCACTTCAAAAAAATTCTCTCATGCTTTCTTTTTATAGCGCTCTTCCTACCCCTCACCCCTGGCAACCACTGATCTGTTCTCCATCACTATAGTTTTATCCTTTCCTACCACATTAAATAACGAGAATTATACAGCATGTAGCCTTTGCAGACTGGCTTCTTTCACTCAGCCAAGTTGAGTGAGATTCATCCAAGTAGATACATGTACCAGTTGTTGACAACTGATTTTTAAAGACATTTTACTTTTGAATCATTATTTCTTAAAAGAATTGTGAATCTGAATTATTATAGTTCAAGCTGTGTTTGACTCAGGATTTTTATGTTTAAAAGTGAGATAACTGACGAAATTTATAGGGAAAAATTACTACTTCCCTTGATTGATAACAACTGTGTGTATATGATATCAACATGTTTTTCTTTATGAGGTTCTTGTTTTTAATAGTTGATCCATATTAAAGACCTGTAGAATTGCAGCAAGGACCTGAGTTGGAAAGGTGGCTGTTTAAATATCATTAGTTTCTAAAATGTCTGAAAATAGGGTGACCAGTCCTGGCTGCCTGGGACTTTTTCAGTTTTAGTTCTGAAAGTCTGGCTGCTCCCAGGAAACCCCTTGGTCTCAGGCAAACCCAGGATTTTTGGTCATCCTATCTGAAAAGAGATACATAAAACTGGAAGATTCCAGTTCTTCAGGTTTTAATAGTGAACCATTGGACACATACTTCAACTAATCTTAATTGTTGTCAGTGTGCTCAGAGTCAAAATCTCCAAGGTAACCAGAATCCAAGCCACAGGAGACTTTTTAGATTAAGATCAACACCTTGAATTTAAGATTTTGTGGCTTAGTCGTTTAGATTTGACTGGAATTACATCGTTAATTTTTGTTAGTTTGCTGCCCTCTGTAAGTCTTCATTTGATGAGTTCAAGAGGCACTCTAGTTCATCTTTTATATTGGCAGTATTTTAAAAAATTACTGTGGTAAGCAAATTTCCAAGCCTTATGTACAGAAGCTAAGTTAAAAGTCGAGTTTATACTGAAGTAGAATGTCTCCTGTTTGGAGTTTTTAAATTCAAATGATGATTCTAAACCTCAAGTAAATTTTAAGTTCTTTAGTTTTAACAAGTTTGTTCCCCTTTCCTGACTTTTCATACCACCTCTGTACTTCTTCTATAGATTTTTCTTTATAGAGCAGATCACTTTGTCAGTTGTTTACTTGTTTTCTTGCTGTCACCATTAGAATGTAAGCTTCACGAAAGTAGGGGCCCTAGCTGTCATCTTTACCACCGTATCTTGGAGTCCAGAGCAGCACTGGATGAAAAAATGAATATCCATGAGTAGGTTTTACAATGCTGCATGCTTTCCAGATTGTTTTATTAACAACAGTCTAGGAGATGTGGAAATGTTTTTAAAGAAATGTTTAAATTCATGTTTTTGTTTCAAATTGGGCAGAGAAGGTGGAAATGTGGCCTTTAAAAATTTTTGTTTCATTAACCCTCTTTGAGGAAAGGGAATTTAAGTAGTTGAACTTACATCTTCCTTAAAAATGGCAATTCAGAACCAATGGAGAGAGCTGAAAGTGAAAAGATTTGGATTGGAGGTATTTGAAAAATTCCCCTTACGTCTCATCCTCATCACCTCCTCCCAACACACAGTTTTTGTAAAGGCAGAGAGCAGGGTATGAGGAGGTTGAGTTGGGGAAAGAAAGGAGATCTGAGTCACTTGAGGGAGATTTAGTACTCAGTAAGCAAGAGAGTGCTAATGAATTATTTAAAGTCTGCATAACCTGAGTACAAACCAATAAAAAGACTCTAAGTTAGTGGTTCTCAGAGTTTAGTGAACATAAAAATCTGAAGAGTTGTAAGGAACAGATTTCTTAGCTGAAGCCCCAGAGGTTCTGATTTAGTAAGAGTGGTGTTGAATTCAGGAATCGGTAATACTAATGGCCAGTCTGGGTGTTGGCCCATGCAGTTGGTCTGAGGACCGTATTTTGGAAAAACTGCTGTAAGTGGTAGAGAGACAAGATGGTAATTTAAAGTAGGTGAATATAGCTTGTTTAGGTAAAAAATAAAACTGGAACTATACTGATTTTATATATATTAAAAACATCTCTACTGCTGACAAGAAGGCACCCTAGAATACCTGGTGGCAGCTGCCTGGTCTATGCAAAATGTATAGAGTTTAAAAAGCCTTTGGGGGCTTATGCTGAAGAGCCAACCCGTTTTAAACAGTGGAAATATTTCTTTATATCAAAATGAACCATTCCATTCCTATGTAGGGTTCAGCAACATCTATCTTCTAAGTCTCAGTCATGATGTTTCTTAAATGAAGATTCAAGGAGGTTATCCAGGGAATTTGATTCAGGCTCCATTTAATCTCAGAATCACATGTGGATTTTTACCCAGAAGGATTGTAGTAATAGTTAACGCTTTTAAAGCTTCACACATACTCTGTTAATCCTCACAGCAACCCTATGAGATAGTAGTATTATTAAACCCATTCTACAGATGAGGACACCGAGGCCGAGAGTTTCAGTGATTGCCCAAGGCGATAGAGCTAAGTAAGTGGTGGTGAAGCAAGAATTCAAATCCAGGTTGGTCTTAACCACTGAACTCTCTTGGGTGATAAAAATTCATCTTGGGTGATAAAAATTCGATACCACTTTGAGGAGCGCTTTGGGAGCCAGTGGTGTATGTACTTAATTTAGACTCTTAATATTCTGGTGTAATTTCTTGGTCATTTTGTTCTTAGAAGAGGTAGTGATCTTAAATCATTTTTTACTTGTGTTATAACTAAAAACCTTTAAAAACTCTTCCATAACTTAAGTTGAAGTTTTTAATCATAAACTTGAATTAGATGAAAAAGATGTAATTTCCTGTTATCATAAATACTGATATTTTTAAAGCTATCTTATCACCTTTTAAAAAGCCTGTGTCTAGTAGAATGTAATGCCATCATGAGTTGATGTCCACTGTGATCCATTTAAACATATAAAGTACTTAAATTTAACATGGTTTTTTCTTCTTAAAACTGTATTTGTGTTACATTTTTCCCTCTAAACTTTATCCTAATAAATATTTATGCAAGTCTTATTGATCTTCTCATTCTTTGTAACATTCGTGTATATAAATTGAAAGTAAAATTTTAATTTGCCATAGCCATAAGGCACCAAATGTTCATTTTTTTCTGGATTATTAAAATTGTTACTAGTGATCAGTTGACTCTAACAGCAAATTTTACACATTGATACGTGGAGTAAAATTTTATTGAAATTGCATCTCTTGTAATGATTTCAATTAAAGGAGGTTGCATGACCAATCTTTGAAATTGTCCTCTGATATAACTTCCCAAGAGTTTAAAAAAAACATAGGTTAAATATATTTAAAGGTTATTGAATAAAGTGGACCAAACTATTCAGGATAGGTGAGAGCTGCTTCCCTTCTGTAAAGTGTGATAAAGGAAGATGGCAAAAGAGAAGAGGTACATTTGCAGGTGTGTACACAGGCATGCTGATTTTTAAAAAATCAGGTGGAACTAGACATAGCCAATTTTTTTCTTTTTTTGAGATAACAGTCTTGTTCTGCCTGGGGTAGAGTGTAGTGGTACCATAGCTCACTGCAACTTCAAACTCCTGGGCTCAAGCAATCCTGCCTCAGTCTCCCAAGTAGCTGGGACTACAGGCGCATGCCACCACACCAAGATAATTTTTCTAGTTTTTGTAGACACAGGGTCTCACTCTTGGTCAGGGTGGTCTCGAACTCCTGACCTCAAGCGATCCTTCTTCCTTGGCATTCCAGAGTGCTAGGATTATAGGTCTTGAGCCACTGTGCCTGGCCTAGAAAGCGTTTCTTTTAACTATCAATGCCTACATGCTCCTTGGAGTTTTTGGGTGAACTTGGGGTACAGGTACCACAGATGGAAGACAGCTACTCAAGAACTTTCAGTGTGCTGAAAAAGACACCATACATTTACCTTAACACTTATTAATATTAGCAAATGAGTAAATGTCCATCAATAAGGGTATAGATGAATGTATTCTCTTGGTGGAATACTGTGTAGCAGTAAAGCAAGTTGCAAAATGGCATTGCTATTTATTGTACATATTTATGAAGAAAAAGAACATTTAAATTCACCATGGTGGGGACTATCGTGGGGCAAGAGGCGTTATATGTAAAAATTTGGTAGTGAAGATAAAGATTTGCTCTTTAAAATGTTAATGGTCAACTTAAGATGGTAAGTATATAGATGTTAAATTCTTTGTGCTTGGTACTTTTTAATTTCCCCAAAGTATGTGCAAAACAAAAGTCTCCCTGGGAAGAATATTTTGACTAGGTGAAAGGAAAGGAAGTATTGATTAATAAAAGGCAAAATGCCAGTGAAGTCACACTCAAATTAATGCTATCTAAAATGGGTATATAAAATTCGTTTCTGCCATTAAAAGCCTGTTTTGTTATTGTATATATTGATTTCATTACCTCCGAGTTCCTGTACGGTTCTCTTAGCCAGGGCCATGATTGGGATTCCCCTGAGATAGGTTAAGTTGTAGTGTCCAAAATCTAAGCCTTTTGTCTTAAGAAGTATCTTTGCCTGGATTTCCTAGACACTGAGGTTATCTATTCTTTAAACTGAAATATTTTCCTTTTGAACTGTCAGTGATACCCTAACACCAGATTGTTTATAATTTTTATTCAAGCAAGAACATATTTGGAGCTGAAAAAGATCGTAACAATTTCTTGATTAAAAAAAATTAAATACCTATTAAATAAGAGGTCACCCAATAGTGAACATTTATTTTTGATTGCAGAACTTGAACATCTCTTGTGATGACACTTCGGTTATCACTTGGTCAGAAAAATACTCGTCCCAGCTCAAACATTACCTTGGGATGATAAAAAGTGAGGATTAGTAATTTCATAGCAAACAAATTATTGGTACAAATGAAAATGACTTTTCCAAGGTTGTGATTAATGAAAAATGCTCCTGAAGTTAGAGTAAATACTTGGCTTTCTCACACAGCCAGCTGCAAATCTTAAGGCACAGGTACTTGATGTTGGTCTGTGCATTATAAACTTGCAGCTAGAACTTTTTCCAAGTGCTATCTTTAAAAAGGTAGACCCTTTTCAAATACTACATTTAATCCATTTGCAAAATACAGTCATTTGAAACTTACCTCACTTCCAAATAGACTTGGTAATTATAATAGTAATTCTCTTCCCTGCTATACTTTTCTGTGTCAAATTATCTTTATTCTTATCCTAGCCCCTATATAAGACGTAAGTGATCACAGTTCATGGCATTTCCACTTACCTCTATAGTGATGAGGATGACAATCATCCACTCCAAGCGGAGCGCCCTCTTCTCATTCAGATGATTCCGCATCAGATCCGTTAGTTCCATACAGTGCTGAAGTTTTTCATTCATGACCTGTATAACAAAAATCTTAGTATCATGTATTTAAACAATTTGCATTTATTTAAGTAAATAATATGGTCACATCCACCAAAATTCCATAGGTATACAGTAAAAAATTGTCCCTTCAACTCTTTCCAGTCCTCTGCCTGAAGGTAGCTAGTTAGTGTTACCAGTTTCTTGTGAACCCATCCAGAGACATTTTGTAATGCCCAGATTTGACTGCAAAAAATACTTTGCATACTGAAGCTCTTCTATTTGAAAAATTTTGATGGAAGATCTAAAAATAAAGTTTTTGAGTCCTAGTTTTTGGTAGCTGCCCTTGTGTTTTTAGCAGTTAAAAAAGGCAAACTTGAAACATTCCTTTTTTTTTTTGCATGGCCTAAAGATAAAAAAACAATGATTACCTTTTACAAAAACCTCAAACTTAACATTTGATGTGCTGCACACTCACCACTAGATGGCACTGCTTTCAACTCTGAACTGCAAAGGTTCTGCATTGTGGTGCCTCAAAACAAGTTGGCTGTGGGGAATTCAAAGAAGATAGAATCTTTGAACTTAAAATTTGGATGTGATTACTGGCAAGTTATATACCTACTCGGTATCTCTGTATGTCGCCTGCCTTTGGAAACTGGAAAGTTTGGAAGCAAATTTTTAAAATAGTTTGATTTTTCTCATAGGGTACGCTGAAGGTATAGTTTTGGTCAGTGGACGTTCGAAGAATCATCACAGATACGTGTTGAGGGATTGACAGCAATGTGTTAGTGCACCGTACTATGATTTTGCAGAGAGCATTAAACTGCATTACTAATGAGGGATGGCACACTGAACTGCACTGGTAACATCTGCACCTATTTCCAGATTTTATGGTCACCCTGTAGTTTCTAATCTGTATAAATTGTTTACAGTGTACCTCTTTTCCCTCTCTTTTTCCCCCCCTCTTGCATTTTCTTCCTTTTTTCTATTTCTATTGGCTGCTTGATCCTGGTCTATAACATGTTCGGCCTTGAGCTTGCTTCTCTCTTCAAACTACTGACTCAGCCCTCTTCCATTTTCTTTCAGCTCTGACCAACGAATAGACAATTTTCTTTCTCCACTCCCCATCACCCAACTTATTCCTTAACTCTTTAGAATTTGCATATATTACCACAAGTCCCCAGAAACTTCCAAGTCTTCTAATTGTTAAATCTAACAACTTTTCTTAGTTCCAGACCTCAACTAATCCAAGCATTTGACAACACGTTGAAATGTACAAGCAAGAGACCCTGCTACTGCATGCTTCCTATTTCATGTAGCTGTGGAGGCGTGCACGTTATGTGCATGCAGATGAGGGAGCAGGAAAAAATGGGGGTCACAATGGTGGTCAATATGAATCAGGCTTTAAGTAGGCAGCTGCCGGATGAAAAGACGGGGTAGAGGGGAGGAAGAATTTCAGGCAGAGGAAATAGCCTAGAGACAACCATAGCTAGATTGGGGACAACTTGGAAGGAAGTGCTTGGCAGTGAGGTTAAGAAGGTAAATTAGTACAAAACTGTGAGAGGTACATAAAGACAGAATAACGCCCCCGTCCTCCCCCCCGCCGTCCCCGCATCGGCCCCAAAGACATTCACGTCCTATTCCTGGAACCTGCGAATATAACACGGCAAAGGCAAATTATGATTGAACATGAAATTAAGGTTGCGGATCAGCTGACCTTAAGATAGGGAGATAATCCTGGATTACCTACGAGGGCCCAATGTAATCACAAGGGTCCTTGAAAGTGGAAAAGGAAGGCGGAAGAGTTCAGAATGATGTGAGGACTTAACGAGCCTTTGCGAGATGGAGGAAGGTGCTATGAGCAAGGAATGTGGGTGGCTTTGAGGCACTGGAAATGGATCCTATCTGCAGCCTCCAGAAAGGCATGCAGCCCTGCCAACACTTTGATTTTAGCCCACTGACACCCATGTCAGACTTCTGACCTACAGAACTGTAAGATGATAAATTGCGTTCAGCTGCTAGCTTTGTGGTAATTTGTTACAGCAGCAACAGGAAACTAATACACCTTGCTAGAATATTTGAACTTTATTCTGCAGGTAATGGGGAGTCTTTTGTTCAGTCTTGAGATATTAATTTAATATTCACTACACTGTGCTGGGCAGAGGAGACAGACTGGTGAATAAGACAGATGCGTGTCTTTCTTCTGGCCAGGGGGTGGGGGTGCAGAGAGACTGGAAAACGGTCCAGTCTAGAGGCTGAGACAGTGAAGAAGGTATTAGAACAGTCCAGGTGAGAGCACAGGGGCTGTGGGATGCACATTAGTAGTTGGGGAGCCTGAAGACAGGGGGCCATTCCTCCATTTCACCAGCTAGGATCAATCACATAGGCTTTCAATAAATGTCTGCCCATGAATGAATGATACTTAGGGGGGAATGAAAAGACTGACTGACTAGATGTGGCGAGCGCAGCAGAAGGAGGTCGCTCGGATGCCTTTTAAGTTTCTGGCTGAATGACTAGACGAGTGAGGCTAGCTGCAATAGAGAACAGAGGAGGTTCGGCGTTTTCTGGGAGAACACCATGAGTTTCGTTTTGGAATCTAATCACTGATGAACTCTACAAATATTTACTGAGTACAACTATACGTGAGGCCTTTGCCAGGAACTGGGAAGAAAATAATCATGGTCTTTGATCTCATGGCACTTACTACAGTCTAGTGGGGAATGATGCAAATAATTTAAAAAAGGATGCTATGAGACATGTAAATGTGGAGGATCTGCGAGATTTAGGAGGCGACCGGAAATATCTGGAAAGCAAACAAGAGATTGGGGTTAAGAGACATATGTTTGAAAATGAGCAGGGAAAGGTGGAATAGAAGGCATGAAAACAAACACCACTGCTCCCGGAGTAGACGGCACAGGGAGAGAAGACTCAACGACGGGACCGTGGGGGACACTGACAGGAGGACACAGAGTGAGGGACCCACTGCCACCTGGGTTCTGTCCCACAACACCGCTGTAACTGCTGTTTCAGTGATCTCCTAATTACCAAAGATGACTCGACCTCTGTCCTCAACTGTTTTGACTGCTTTTCAGCATGTCTTAGGTCTTATCACCCCTGTTTTGCTCAGGACTCTTTTCTCTATCTTTTGAGGGAAAAAACAGAAAACAAGGACCAACTTTCTTCTAGCATTACCACCATTCTTTCTTTGTTTTGTCTTCTTAGGAGACTGCAAAGCTTGTTGAAGGTCAGGCCAGTTCTTGTTTTTCTTTTGTATTATATAGTGTAAGCTCTGTGTTGCTCAGAAGGGAAGGTAAACTCTTAACCCCTTACCCTGCTAAAAAACCTTCATATATTCCAACCAGTCTGAACTGCCTTTGGGATGCTAATGAGAAATGTAGTTTGAGAACTTTTAGGTATGCTTTATAACTCATGTAGAAGATTTAACACCAAAGAGTGAGACTGGGGAATGAAATGAAGAACAATTAGCTTGTGAGTAGTGGGGATTGTTAAAAAAAAAAAAAAAAAAAAGCATTTTAAGGCCGCCTTTCAATTATCTGACCCACCTGCGGTCGCTGCTGTGAAGGATGTCAGGCACTTTTGAGAAAGCATAAGAAAAGAGGTCTTTCTGTATCTTCCTACTCTGGCTAAATCTTTCCCTACAAGCTGTCATTCATTCAGAAAGGCTATTATTATGCACTGACACCCTGGAGACCCGAAAGATGTGGCATTGCCCGTAGAAAACATGTAGCCCTAGAGACTGATGTGATCAGACCGCCACGATACAGGCTGGGAAGTGCCGCACCTGAGGGATACATACAAAGTCCTCCAGGAGTACAAGGTAAGGATGGGGAAACCTTTCCTAGGAGGTGATGTTTGGGCTCATGGGGCAGAATGCAGGCAAGGATGGTCGTGGCCAAGGATACAGAATGAATCAGATCACAACTAGAAAGAGCATGAGATATATATCTGTAATGGTGTCAGATTAAATAGATTTTTATTTCGATTCTTCAGGATATTACCGGAATTTTTTTACCACCCTGCCCCCACCCAAACTTAGTTGAAGTATAAATGACAAATATTTCAAATGTTTACAATATTGTTTGGTGGAATAGCATGCATTCTCCCTGTGTACTCACTTTAGGACTCGGAAGCCAGTTACTATATTTATATATTTGATACATTCTGAGAAACGTGTCATTAGGCGATTTTGTCATTGTATGAACATCACAGAATGTACTTTCACAAACCTAGAGCCTAGATGGTATGCTTAGGCTATGTGGCGTGGCCTATTGCTCCCAGGCTACAAACCTGTACAGCATGTTACTATACTGAATACTGTAAGCATTTGAAACACACTGGTAAGTAATTGTGCATCTAAACATATCTAAACATAGAAAAGGTATAGTAAAATGTAGTATTATAATCTTATGGGACCACCATCCTGTATATGGTCTATCCACTGAAATGTCATGTGGTGCATGAATGTAGTTCATACAAGATTTTTAAAAATAACTGCCACAGAGCTGAGTTGTTACAGGAATCTTCAAAGTTGGGGACTGAGTGGAACCTGCTCCGCCAGGTCTCTGGGCTGTTTGGTCAACTTTTCAGTGGTGGGTACAGAAGCAGTCCTTCCACTCAGAGGAGCTCTGTCCCCAGACAAGCTCCAAAGTACCCTTCCTGGCATGTTCCTTCCCTCTGGTTTAGCAGATAGACAGTGCACTGGCACTTTCTCCAGGTTTTCCCCTTCCTTCTTAGTAGATTAATTCTTTGTACAGCTAGTTGATTATTCATTGTACTTTTGTATTCACTATTGATCCTTCTTTGACATTTCTCATTTTCCACTGTTGCTATCATGTTGAATGTAAGGGATCTGAAAGTCATCCTTATCTTTACGCTTTTCCTTTGGACCATACACTATCTTCCTTGCTCAAGCCTCATTACTGGTGGCTGTAATCCTGTTCACTTTTCCTGCACTCTCCCCGACGAGAGACATGTGAAGGATACCACGGCTATCGCTATCAAAGAGATCTGGGGGAGGC